ACTTCAAAAGAAGATAATAGTCAAACCAGAATGGGCATCATAGTGAACCTTATTGTCTTCAAAAGAAGATAATAAGGGTTGCCTATACCCTCAAACTTGATACTATTAAACAAAACAGAATAGAGTAAAATCAGTCAAAACATGATGGTGAGAGCAATACAGGGCTTCAAATCAAGTTAATAGGAAATCAAAACTGTTTCTGTAATGTATCCTGCTAATTTCCCTTAATTAAAAAAATAAATAAATTTTAAAAAAGGAGATTGAGATAAAAGAGGACATAACACAACAGCACAGGTCAAAACAGAACAATTTAAGCAACATAGTGTTTCACCACAAGATAACCCGACATAACAGTAGTTACCATAGTGTCTCTTTCTGTGAAATACTTGAGTATAACGTCCTATACTATAGCATCAAGCATATCAAGACAGTGTAAAACCATTCAAGAGAATGAAAGTATTACAGGGTATTTAGAACCAACTAACAGAAAATGAACAATGGATTCTATAATATCTCCTTGTCTATAAAAATTTTGTTTGTGCTATCACATATAATAAAATCATTTTTAAATGCTCAAAAATCAGGGATAAAATCAAGTTTCTTGTGTCATGTCTGAGTTGTTACATTATGACTTAGTTCATTTATCATTTACTTTAAACATCTTGGAATTCCTAATCTTAACTTTTGTGCTTTTATAAATTTAAACTAAATATTATATAAAAACATATTCAATCTCTTAAGTTTTTGTTCATTTGTGAAAACTTTGTATGCTAATACGTTTTTCAAAATATCCCTTTCCTGACACTTAATAGAAAAAAATTCATGCACTTAAAATATGTTAGATGCTTGTCTAAAACTTAAATTAATTTGTAGAAGTAATTTATCAACGCTTTACAGGCACCTGGTGAAGAGAAGATGGGGAAGACTTTTGTTTGCTTCCTTCCTTCTTTCCTCTTTCTTTCTTTCTTTCTTTCTTTCTTTCTTTCTTTCTTGTTTGGAACCAAGGGTTGAATTCATGACCTCGTGTTTGTCAGGGAGGTGCTCAAAATTCTATGCTCAAAATTCTAGCTAACATAAAATATAGTTTATTTTAGATAATAGCTTTAATAGAACTCAAATTGGATTAGAAATTAAAATAACCCAAAAAAGTATCCATAACAGAATGTAAAACATATATAAAAACAAAGCATTCATCATATGTGTAATATTATCTTTAAAATAGAATGATTTTTTGAATCTAATGAATGCTTTTTCATATGTAATATTATATGATTAATGTAACAGAGTCTAGATTATATAAAAGGAAACTTGGCAAGAGTTATTTTTAAAATCCCTTAAATTATCCATAAAAGTCCTTGATAACGTCTTCTTGTCCATGTGCAAATTGGCAGAGTAAAGAGAATATACATAATTTATAGTTAAAATTCTCATATATAGTGTCTAAAGTGATTTTACATGAAATAGATAAATACATTATACTTCAATTCACAAACCTCAACTAGGCATAAAATGTTACTGTGGTTTATATCTAAATAAGTGGATTACCACTGCTTTTGATGTATACACTGTTAGCCATGACACAGCTTTTCAACAATAGGCTTTCCCTTGCAACTGAGTTTTAAATTGTGATTCTGTGTTAGATTCAACTGGGCTACATGAGAGGCATTTTTTGGTGGGCTTAAAACAAGAAATTCTCATTATCGCTAAAATGCCTTTTGAGGTATTTTACATGTTTTCTATCTCACGTATAAGACCTTTCTTTTGAAATATGTTGTATATTTCTCTTCTAAACACCTACCTGCAGTATTCTAATTTCAAGTCTAGGTGACTATTATAAAAGTTGCCATCTTTCTAACAATTTACTATGTATACATAGGTGAAACGCGCTTTTTAATGCATAAAAATACAATTCTTACCGCATAATATGTATGTTTGAGAACCTTCAAGACCCCTCACTTTCTCCAGAATTAAATATAAATATGTCTGGCTCTCATACCATATTTCAAGGTTCAGTTGTGATATTTATCACAAGTGGATATTATCTTGCAGTATTTTGAATTCCTATTGCACTTCACTTATTGTACCTCTATTCTGATACTTATCACAGTTTTCTTTGTACTTATGTAATTCATGTACCTGTCTGTCTGTTACTGTCAATTATCTTACTTCCCTTAGGGAATTGATGTTATACGTATGTTTTTGTATTCTGTACCACATAAAATGACACCTTGTAAAGAAGATATACCTTATAAGCATTCAAATAGAATTTAAATTAGTTACTTTGATGGGTTTTGACATTTTTCTCCAATTTTTTTAAGGGCCTGTGAGATTCTTTTAAATGATTTCAATGGTGATGAATCATCACCATTTGAGGGAAAATTAATAAAATAGAATCTGTGTGTGAGATATGAAATAGCAGTTCCAAAGATCCCAAAATGCTTTCAATAGTGGAAACATTATTGTAAGTTTACAATATCCTTAAATTTTTGCCTGTGAAATATACAGCATTCATTTATATACACAAGTTCTGACATAGTTGTTAAATCAGGTTTGCTTTTTGTATATTTGTTTTGCACTTTTTCGAGTCAGACCATTGAGAATATGCTTAGAATTTAAACATAATTTAAATGAGCCATTATTGCCTTCCTCACTAAAGTATGGTACATTATAGCTTCTAATGAATAAGAAACGTCATCAATATTGAAAAAAAAAACTTGCCAAATTTGAGGAAAAGTTTACCTGTGTTATGACTCAAAAAACTTTACAAATTAAGCTTTTTCTAATTTTTCTTTAGTTTAACCAGAAATGTAAATAATTGAATATATTTGAAATAAACAGTACTGACTAGTTAAATGTAGAATGTATCATGCAACATTTTAATAGCTACTGATTTGAGATTCTATTTTATTTGCAATTCATTTGGTTTAACATGTATCATCTAGAGGTTCTATGTGCCCAGTTTTGAAGTCTTTTCATTAATATATGGGAATACATGCAGAGATAATGCAAAACAATTGGATAGCTTGATTTTTCCTAGAGTATATTATGTGACTATTACAGCAGATATCCCTTCCTCATTGAAACTAACAATGAACTGACCTTGAAAAACCAAGTATATATTGGTGAGAAAAAAAGGAAGCACACAGTTTGAAAATTTTTTTAAAACAAAATCTTTTTTATGATCATTAAAAACAAGATTTTTATACTTTGTCCCAATACCTTCTCATTTAGTTAATTAACATTTTACTATAATGAGATTCGATCTTGAGTAAAACTTTTTGTACTTATCCTTACAAATATTATTTGATTTTATGTCATTTCTAGCCTCTGTTTTGCATGTTGCTATGTTTGGATCTCAAAATAAAATTGAGACGTCTATTGTCTAGAGATGGTAATTATTTAACTTAAGTTTAATAATTGAGGATATTGCCTACCTTTCTATATTGAATCACTTCTTATCTGTAGACATTACTGTACTATACAGGGCATCATTGAATACAACATACCAAAAAAAAGCATTAAATGTTCTACTTGACACCACATTACCATCACCACTACCTACAGAGCCTGATTTCATTTGTCAGCCCCTATGGAGAAATGTGTTTAGGGTGGAAAAAAAAAAAGGGCAGTTGAAGAGTATGGAGTGGTACACAATCCTTCTGTGTCATTTCCTATGACAAAGCATTCTTAAATTCAGACTGTCCTGAACTACAGTTTATAGAATTACCTTACTCTTTGTAAATCTCCACAGAATTCTGCTACAATAGTGTCTATTTCCTCACGTAGTAATTCTGAGGTAAGAAGATATTGGTAGATATTTCATTTAGCAAATTTTATATTTTTAAACTTTTTTATTAGTACATGTTTACTATACATAATAATTGTGTTTCTTGTTGAAAGTTGGTTCATGTACTTAAATGCATTTTAATTCTATGTTAATTCCTTTCCTTTCCTAGGAATCCCTCCTTCTCTATCTCTTGGTAAACTTTCAAGTAGATTTTACTTTAAAAGAGACAATCATACTGATAAATACGATTTAGATATGAGTGCACTTAGTCTAGTATTGAAATAGATATATCCTTAGATTTAAAACTACTTTATTTGAAAAAATAAAAGTCTTTCAACACTTTTCAAATTTATTAGAAAGCACTTGTTCAAATGTGAAATACTCATGGAATATGAAAGAAATGTCCACTCAAGTTTACAATACTGCAAAACTTCACTACCCACATTAAATAAACTCTAGAATGTAACTCACAAGGAAAAAAACTATTTGACACATATTCTTATATACAGAGGTTTGACGTGAAGATGATAATGCATAAAAGTTTACTTTTTTCCTTTTGCAATCATCTATTATTTATACAAGAATGTTAGTGATCTATTAAAACTTGCATTTTACTATTTAGTAAGTAAGAAGACAGAACATATGAATAGACTTAGAATGAGGCCACAGTTTGGAGACATAACATTGTAATCATTCACACTTGTAAGCTTAAGATTTGTAGTGAGAAAGCATATGTACTAATAGTTATATTAGTCGCTGTTGATTTTCCAAAGTAAATACAATAATATATTAAAATAACTTATAGCATACAGATTTCATAATAAAGTCATCTCTTGCTTTGTGGCGATGCCTTATTTAAAAAGTGTTTATTCAGTAGTTCTTATAATATTTTCACTTATTTTACAGAACACTGCATTTTTATGGTAATTGCATTTTCCATGATTTTCAATAACAGACCCCCAGCAATTCTAGAACCTCACAGTGCCCTAGAAACTTTCTCAAATTTCCATGGAACCATTAAACCACTTCTAAATTGTTTCACAAAATAAAGCTCTTTAGATACATTGACTTCAATAAAAAAAAAAAAACATTGTCTGGGCAACATGCTCTAAAATAAAGTGTGTTGACATCATATCTGTATTCTTTGGTGTTAGTCAGCTTTCCAACTAGTATGAAGCTTATCTTACTGAGATTCCATTTGTTGTTTTCACAGATTTCAGGAAACCTTACTGTGCCTTGGATTACAGGGTGTTCTAGAAAAAGAGCAGTAAGTAATCTTTCATTTAAAGCAACAAATGAATTTTGTCTCATGTTGTTTGTGGAAATGTCATTGAGAAAATTGTCATGATTTATATAAAACTGACCAAACATAACCTTGATAAGACTGAACAGTCTTGAACTGCATATGTTGAGATCACAATATTTATGTGTACTATAAAGGTAACCCTATATTCACATGTAGTAATCAACACACTGAATAATCTGTGTGCAGTTTCTCCTGCTTTTGAAAAATTTAAAGATAATGAAACACCATGTTTCTAATTCAGTTAGCTTGATTAATTTGGTCACACAATTGAATGATTGTTGTAAAACTTGTAAATCAATACCAAATTACTTAAAATTTTAGTGAAATTCAATATCCAAAGGTGTTAAGCAACTAATGTTTAGCATGTTATGTGTTCTGTGGCTTTCTGCTGCTTTAGCGACCAGCTGCAGTTCTAGATATTGTCAGGGGGAAGGATGGTGAGAGGATGAGAAAATAAAGAAGAAACAAAAGCTGGAATCAAGTGGAGCCCTTACTCTCCTGATTGGAGGGAAGAAAATGGTCCCTCACGGCAGGGGCATTTATTTATACCTTTTAGCAACCTAATGTCACAAGACACCCTATTGTCCTAGCAATACACTGTTCAGATTTTCTTGGGGCTAGGTGTTCTCTGGGATGAAGCAGATTCTTCACATGGCTTGCCCTGGGTGCTCTTTATTTTTGTGATGGCTGTGCTTCAGAATTACAGGTCAGTTTCCAATTTCATTAGATGTGAACATGCTGCAACTGCTGTGATATTACAATGTCAACAACAGAATCTAAGTAAAATTTTGGTTTCTGAAAAAAATCTAATGTATTCTACTAGGAATCATAAATCTGAATTTTAACAAATATCCCAGTATATGTTGATGCAATTTGTACATAGATAGGAAGCTTTTAAAGGATTTTTAAAAAGACATAAAAAGACTTTTAGAAAAATAATAGTTACCATGTAATGGACAGGTTTATGGACAAATAAAACTAGAGCTAGATTTTCAGTACTGAATAAGACTGTATAGAAGTATAAGGCCTCGAAATAATACAAGAGGCTGCAGTAGAGAATACTTGGAAGGAGAAATGTTGAATTTTTAGGGACTTTAGCACTCAGAGGAACCATAAATTATTTTATTCCCAATCTAACACTGTAAGGCTACCCAAACAAGGCAACTAATGGTTCCAAACTATCAAAGGAGAAAGGGTTTAGGTAGCCTCATTTCTTCCCCAGATGAGCAGGAGCCCCGTAAATACTCTGCAGTGAGCTTGGTAACATTGGCAAGGAGAAGAACTGAAAGTTCCCCACTGACATTAAATAGCTATAGAATTTACCTACCTTTCATGTTGGACCTAAATCTTCCTTTATTCACCTGGAGATACCAAGCAGCGATCTCAAGGGGATACTGCTACAAAGAACGTACTGACCTGGGGGGTTCTTTTTTCTCTATAAACTATACAATTTTTTTTCCACCTAAAGAACTAGGTGGTGGGTGAACAAAAACAAGAGGAATCAATCCACAACAAATATGCAGCCCAGGAGGTTCTCTATCCTTCACTGACAAATGCATTCACCCTTCTACCTACAGATACTGGTCTCATAGGTGGCTCCAATAGAAGGGACCTGCTTACAAGTGTCCAGCCCGCTTCCGTCCCCTTAAGTGACACTAGCAAGAATCAGTGGAAGCCTTGGTAATATTGAATAAATAAAGCTTATGGAAATAATACCAGAGACATGCTGAAAATTAAAGTATCATTGCAAACATAAAACATAAGTAATGCGGAACCTGTGGATTAGATTAATTGAGTGACTACTTGCTAAAATAGATTAAATAAGACAAGGTTAGTAAGGCAGTAAGTTCTAAATACTCTTAAAAACAACCATTTTACGAAGAAATCACCCATTTTACAAAGAAACAGCAAAATCACTACATGAGTACTAAAGGACAACTGACAAAAACACTTGAATGAGTCAAATGCAACTATTTGAGAAACATTTTACAATGGCATTTAAAGTGCTTCAGGAAGCAACCAGAAACTGATCATAAAATGAAAATATCTCAGGAAAGCAATGGGAATTATTAAAAGAATCAAATAAGAATTGCAAAACTGAATAATACAACAAGAAAGGGAGATGGCTCAATATTAGGTTCAAGATAGAAGACAGGATAATTGAATTGAAAAATACATTAAAGAATTTTAATAAATAATAGAACAAAGCATTTCCAATCTACTTTGACTGAAAAGTAATGAAGTTATTTTATGTTTACTGTACAACAGCACCTGGTATTTGAATATACTTTTTAACTGTAAAATTTTGTAAAATTTAAGTGTAGATATAGTTTGGTAAAAAAATTACATTTTCTGTCCTTCAAAATTATAATTCCAGTGAGCATACAATACACATTGGATTTCCAAAACAGTGAGGTAAATGTGGTGGGAACACTTAATTAATATCTTAAAAATTTAAATGCATAATACAATATTAATAACCATAAATGAAGTGCTATACAGCTCATTTTTAGAACTTACTCATTTTTTCAATTAGTTTAGTTATTTTATTTTAAATGAAAGTTATACTGTATGTATGTAGAGTTATTAGTGATATATATATATATATATATATATATATATATACAGTGTAAAGACACAGTATGGATGTAAACAATATGCATATGGGGAGATACCTATGAATACACATCCAAGAAAATTCACATTATCTCCTCATATAGTTAATTTGCTCTCTTTTTTTCATTTTTTGCAATGCTTGACATCAAACTTAGAGCCATGCATATGCCAAAAATGTGTTTTAAGAATGAACTTCCTTTAGCTTTCATGTGGTCAAATCATCTGCATCTATTATCAGTAAATTTCCAATGTATTATACAATTTTTTATAATTGTCCATATTTGTGGTATACACTGTTATATTTTAATAAATGCATAATGTCAGCAATGCAACTGTCAAAGTATCATGATATATATTATTCCTCTTTAAATTTGGAATTCACAAATGGCTGAATATTGAGTACTTTTTCATGCACTCACTGGCCATTTGTACTTCTTCAACTGAGAAGTATCTGTTTATTTCAGGTGCCTAATTTTTGATTCGATCTGTAAATCTGGGAGGTCTATTTTTCTTAGTTCTTTGCATATGGTAGTCCTGTGTCTGATGAATAGCTGGCAAAAATATTTCCCATCTGTAAGTTGTTTATCACCCTCTTAGTGTATCCTTTGCTGTACAGAAGCTTTTTAATTTGTTATGATCCCATTTGTTGATTTTTAGTAATATTCTCTGAACAACTGGGGTATTTATAGACTTTTTGTCTATACCTATATCTTCAAGAGTTTTATCTCATATCTTCCAGCAGATTGTTTCTGTTTTGGTATTTAGATCTTTTATCCATTTCAATTGTAGTTTAGTGCACAGTAAATGAAATGGATTTAAGTCCAATCACCAGCATGTAGAAAGCCAATTTTCACAGCATGATTTGGTAAAGAAGCTATGTTTCCTCCACCAAAGTCATTTAGTCCTTTTTGTCAACAGGAAGGTACAAGTGTGTCTGGTCTTCTTTCTGCATCTATTATTCTGTGTCATTGATTCACAAGTCTGTTTTTTGTCAATAACATGATGTTTTTAGTCATTGTAGTTAAGGAGTATAGCTTGAATTCAGGTGTTGTAATTCCTGCTCCTTTGCCCTCTTGTCCAGAATTGCTTTTGCCATTCTAGATCTCTTCTGGTTTCATATGAACTTTAGGGTTGTTTTCTCTAGTTCTCTGAGAAATGCTATTTTGATCAGAATTGCAATAAATCTATCTAATAGTTTTGGAAATACTGTTTTTAGTATATTGATTCTGATATCCTCTTTGATCTCCCTTTTCTATGAAACTGTCTGTTTCATTGTAGAGGACTTTCACTTCTTTGTTTAGGCTACTTTCTAAGCAATTCATTTTTCTTAATGATCTTGTGAAAGGTGTTGTTCTAATTTCTGTGTCTGTAAATATATTAATGATGTAAAAAAACACTATATATTTTTAAGAGTTGAGTTTGGATCCTGCTATGTTACTTAATTTTCGTAATACTTCTAAAAATCTTTTGGTGAAATTTTTGTTGTGTTGTACATAGAGGATCATGTTATCAACAAATAATGATACTTGTGACTGTATGGTATTTAGGTATCCCACCATAATTGTATTAGTCCTGATTTTTTTTGTTCATTAGTGTTTGTTTTATGAATTTTGTTGTACCAGTGTTTGGTATGATTGTTCTCTCTTCCTGTTGTATTGTTGTCCTAAGCAGTATGCAGTGAGCTTCTTTGCCTCTTCTGATTAGTCTTGCGTTGAAATCCACTTTGCAATTAGACTAGCTTCTCCTTTTTTTGTCTGGGTTCCCTTTGCATGGAGTACTGTTTTCCATCCTTTGACATTTATTCCTTGCATTTTTCTGTGTTTAATGTCTTATATGCAGTTTATGGTTGGATTTTGTTTATTTGTCCATTTTACTAGTCTATGTCTTTTGATTGGTAAATAGTGACTATTACAGTTAATGGTTTTAATTCATAGGTATTGACTTATTCTTGTCATCGTATTATTTTAGTGCTTTTGGTCTCCTTTCTTTATCTTCTATTTAATTGCTCACCTTCCTCAAAGGATTTATTCTTTTGGGCATTTTGACAATGATATCTTATTCACCTTTTTTTTTAGGTTATGCTTGAGAATTTTTGGAATGCTGCTTTTCTGGGCATGCATATATTTAAATGCTCTTTACTATGGAAATATTTCACCATTTATTTTGAAAGATAATTTTGCTCAATACATCAATGGGTTGAAGGTTATTTTTCTGTTTGGCTTGAAGCAATTCACTCCAAGACTTTCGTTTTAGGGTTTAGGTTGAGAAGTCTGCTGTGATTCACATGATGTTTTCTTTATAGGTGGTGTGTGTGTCCTCTAACAGCTTTAAAGATATTGTTCTGT